GGGCTGCCCATCCGCGGTGACGACATCGCAACCTATGGTGGCGATGATTGGATCCTCAACAACGAGGCGGTGGTCATCCGAGAGCTTGGGATCACCAACCTCATCCGTCACAGCGGCGCACCGACGATTCACTCGGCCCCACCGGACAAGCGCCTCCTCCTCTACATCATCACCCGGATTCTCCGCCCCCGGGACAGCAACCATACCTCGCTCTTCAACGAGGACTTGAAGGCGATTCATGTCATCATCCACGGCGCCTCCATCAATTGGGCGAAATTCGTGATGATCCACATGGCGGATTGCGCCTCCATCGCCACTGAGCGGAGCTTGCCATACGCCTTCCTCGTCATGGACCTCATCATCTCCGCCGACATCTCCATCGCCGGCCCGGATACGAAGATGACAAAGATTTGGATCATCCAAGACAGCACCTTCCGAAAGAAGTCCGGTGACGGAACCGGCGCTGGACCGAGTCGTGCCCGTGCCCCTGCCCCTGCCTCCGCTCCCACCAAGGCGTCCTTACAGTCCATAGCCGATACTCTGAATCAGCTAACCCTCACAGTGGATGGCATGGGACAGTCAATCAAGTGGATGGACTGGACGCTGCAACGCCAACACCATGACATGACGGCGTTCTTCCGCGGCATCAACTACGTCCCGCCGCCCTTTGACAGCACCTTCCTCGGCCAAAACTATGAAGGCGAGGACGAGGAGGATAACTCCTATGCTCCATCCTCCTCCCCCGACGAGGCCGACTTTGAGGACGCGGTCGACGGGGATCCCATGGACGTTGAGGACGACGAAGAAGACGATGACGCCGAGGACGAGGACGCCGCAGCCTAAACTCTTCTTTCTTTTCCTTCCTTCCTATGATTATTTTTATTATTATTTTCATTCCGTTGTATTCCGCATTTTCTCCTTTTTCATGAATAAAAGTTTACTTCTTTACTCCAAAGTTCACTTTTAATTCTTTTTGTTAATGTCAAAAGGGGGAAGATATCAAGGTTATGCATAAATTGAGGGGGAATTATTTTTCAAATAAAATGGCATCCATTAAGGGGGAACACTTTTTAAAGTCTCAAAGACTTCCTCATATGCATAACCTCATCTCGTTTGCCATTATCAAAAAGGGGGAAATTGTTG